AAACTTATAATCCAGGTTTACTCACGCCATTATTCTAAATTAGACAAAATTCTAATAATATTAGTAAATACCTACAAATAGGTCGGAATAAGTAACTTGCCAGGTTTCGAAGCCGCGTACTCATAATAAGGAGATGTGCACCTTAACTCGCTTAAAATGCATTGTTATTACCAAATTAAAACAATGATAACTAAATTGTGTGACGTACAATGTGTGTACTGCGGCTTCTCTCGCAATAATCTGGCGCGCATCTCGAAGCCTTGACTCCATTTTCTAATGCCGTGCGCAAGAGTCGCTTCCTGATACATGTTATCGCGATCTACGCGCTTTATTGATCCGTATCTTTATTGTGTAGGTATATGGAAGATTCCTTAAGACCTCAGAGGTCTAAAATAGTAATCCTAATACCGTTAAACAATGATTAAAGTGTTAACATCTTTTTCACAATAAAGAGAATGAGTTTGAGTTTGTTAATGTTACAAAGGAGCGTGGATTTTTGTAGTCTCACCTTAAAGTTTCACAATATTATAACTATCAAATACTATTCAAATGTTGACGCTGACAATCATAAACGTTATATAAAAAAACCATACACAAGCTTACCATGTAGTAGAACTTAATTATTAACAAAAACACACATGCTATTCAACTTACTTCAACAACTACTTTCCCAAAATACCTTGAGCCAAACTCGATTAAAATTGAAAAAAAATAACTGTCAAAATGTATTACAAAAATTAAGAAATACATTCTCGGAATGATTGTAAAATGTTGTTTTCCTACGTTAGAAGTTGAAGTCTACGTTTAATTTATTTATCATCGTCTCGTCACCTTCAATTCGTAGCTTCGCGTCGCCAAGTCAGCGACAGAGTATGACATCGCGTGCTGCATTGACCTAGTTGCCGCGGGTTCGATACCCGACTGAGGTCGGCCGCATAGATAATAACTTTAAACGCCTCCGCTTGCTTGTGAGTCTTCGCTGAATCTCTTTATCTGATGACGTTTTATTTTTAGTGATGAGTTACGGGTCGCTTGACGGAATCTTGTGGAACTATACTATTGTCTAGGAATGTATGAATTTTAAATCAAATATTTCTGATTCTTCGAAAAGGTTGGCGGGGAACGCAATACTGTCTAAACAAAAAACAAGGAAAAAGTAACGAGTTGGACTTTTACCTATTTTATTTTTGTACACACCATTCACATTCCAATTATAACTGGTGGATGGACATAGAAATCAAGGCTGACATTTACAAACAGAATGAAGACGCTCAATTAATTGGTTGTGCTGATGAAGCACGAGGCTACTGCGCGTAGTACACATGTCACTACCACGATGGCAAATACTCTAATAAAATTGTATACTTACATTCGTATAGCAAGGTAATGATGTGTTTTACTTATTAACCACGGTTTCGCCGGTGTGGAAAAAAAATCTAATTTGACCGCACGGTTGGTGGAGTGGCTTCGCTACCGGCTAACGCGCGAAGTGTTGCGGATTTGATTCCCTGATTGACGTAACAACAATTCTTTTTGTCACACCCATGCTACAGGAGAAATCCTATTGTAGTGTAAATTATAAAAAAGATACATAATTTTCAATAAAAATAAACTATAACAATATCCTTCATCAATATTTCGATACTTTCAGATTTTTATGCAAAAATTCACATTTGCATGCACCAATGAAATTAAATAGATACACTACTAAAAATAGTCACAACTTGCAAATTAGCGTCGACCGTCCGGGGGATTACATAAAACAACGAAGATAGGCAACGTTATAAAAGTTAAAGTTTATCACTAGTCGAAATAAAAAAGTAAAAACTTTGTTATCGTACATAAACTTATATTTACATCAGCTTAGGTAATTCTAGTAACAACTCGACACTCGATCATCTCACGCACACAGGCGCCGCTGTCAAAAATTTCTTCGTCATGTCTACACTGTAGTACACAGTGCGTTCGTTAGTGTGCGGTACTTGGACGCACACTGACGCAGGTACCTCTTGTCCATGATAAATGCATCTGACACACACATAGACACTGGCTGAAGGGCGTCCCCGGGGTAACGGCCTAATCGTCTGAAGGGCGTTTTTACGTGCCCTTAAACCTTTCTGACATTTGTAGGCTTTATGTGCCCCGTGCTGAGGGAGGATTCCATGACACTGATAACGGTTCATCTTAGTGTTTTTTTTTTTGTTTTCACAAATGAGCAGTTTGGTTATTTGATGGAAAGCAATCGGCGCCAACCATTAACACCCAACGTTAATGGAATAAGAAGTGCGTTTCTGGTCTATTGTGAATTGTTAGGGATTAGAAGAGGAATGGGTATTGAAGGTCAAAAACAAATTAAGTTTAAAAAAAATGTTATAATTAATCAAGTTGTGTAACGTTACAACATCAAGCTTTCTTTTTCAAATAATTATGTTTTTCATATCTGAGGTATAAAAAGTTATCATCTGTATTAATAATATCAACAAATTTAAAAATAAAACTGTACCTCGTGTAATCTAGATACACATGCTTTGTTTCCTACTTAACTTTTATCATTTCTTTTAAATATTTTATTATAAGCGTAACATAAATCCTTGTTAATCCTCAAAAGGATAAGTAAAGATGCTAAGATTACAATGTAGAATCAATTTTTAAGTAATAGTGAACTTATCGCCATAAGGACGCAAATCGGCCGAAGAATCGTCGGATTAAATTTATTAATTAAAGTAATCGGTCAGTCGGAGCGTGTAGGGGACAGAATATGTCTCATAATCACCCTATAAGTGTCCACTGCTTAGCAATGGTTTATTCTCACACAGATATTTGAGCATTTATCACCACACTTGCTCAAGGTAGATTGGCAATTTCAAACTTATAATTGAAAACTATAAGTCTAGATTCCGACACGATGTTTTCCTTTATTGTGTGTTAGTGGTGTCTAAATATTCTTACAAATTACTATATACTATATACTAGATCTAAATATTCTTCGAATATTTATAAAACATACAAAATACACGAAAGTAAAATGATTAATGTGTGGTAATTAATGTACATATTACAATTATAAAAACTGTATACATGGCCTCATTGACGTCAATTGCTATGTCGATCATAAGTTGGAAAAAACAACAAAAACAGTGTCGCGATTTCTGAGTTAGAAACAGACGTATTTGCTTTCTCACTCTTTTAACTTTTCAAATTATTTCAGGACATTTTTTGCTATGTGCGTTGTGTTTTCATACACATTTATATACACAAATAGACCCGGAACAACAATTTGCAAATAACACAGTGTTGTTCGGTGTGGGAATCAAATTCGCGTCACGCTGCTCAGCAGCCGGTGCCTAGATACTGTACCAATCATGCAGTTTACAGCGTTTATGTATAACTATATTTATTTAATTTATGTTAACACGGATTTGATCCGGTTACATTAACACACAATACAATTGCATTAATTTGCAAATGAAATAATAAAAGCAAAGAGAGAAAAAAACGAAACATGCATTAAACAACCAAATAAACAAACATAAAACTTATCAATAATTAATATCTAAAATAAATATGTAAATTGTATGTGTTATCACTGCCTGCCTGACTGACTTGTCGTAAGCGCGTTTGTTGAACACAAGTTCAGTTCCCGAATCAGGCAAAGAATTAAAAGGGTGTTTTCGTTTCGCGTCTGGAATTGTGCCCGATATTTGGTATCTGTTACTATGTGCGCCTCTGATTTATTCTTTAGAGTTTAAAAATGACAAAATTAATAAATTTTGCTACTTGACATATTAAAGTAATGTGAATCTACATTAATTTAATTCATTACACAGTCATCGAACGTTAAATTTTCGTTTTAACATAATATACAATGTGGGGAAATAACTAATTATCAACGAGTGTAAACACATGTTTATATACTGTATTAATATAAGTTAATTACGGAATATATGTGAGCTCTTCGCTGCAGAACACCTGCACTTGTAAAGCTACATTTTTGTATTTATTAAATGTACATATGATTTATTCATTTATCAATATATGTTCTACTACCAACGGAAAAGTTAATTAGACAATGTACTTTCAGAAAGTCCTATGAAAACAGTGTAAAAGGAAGAGTAAAATAATTTGTGTATTTCACAAGAATTAAAAGCCTACATATTGCTTTATATCGGGTACATATCTGAATTCTAATTAAAAGCCTCATATTGAAAATAAATAACAAAAAAGTTTAATCTTCCAAAATATTAATACTTAAAAGTTGATCCATGAAGGAAAGCCATATTTGAAAAATTAAATTCTAAGTTCCCACATATTACACACATTTCAAAATAACTGCGCAACTCTATTACATATTGCACAAACAATATATTATGTACTTTCATCCCGTCTTCGTGTCCCCTTGAAGTCACCTAATTTTTGTCGAGTTACCAACCAGGGCGTCGACTCTGCAGTCTAGAGGTCGCCTGTGGTCGCTGCCTCCCGGGGAAGGTTGTACCGAGAAGGGATGTTATCTTATATTTATGCTAATATATTATGTCGCTATGTTTTACTGGTTTGTTTGTGCCAAATGTCAAATTTATATTACATTTTTATATATACAACTGTAGATGTATGGCCTAGAAAATTAAGAGTACCTATTTGATGTGCTTATTCTTGTATATTGGTATTTGAATTTATTTCGTGAGTTATTACCTAAAAACATTATAAAATTTTCTTTGTTATATTAATGTTAATAAAGGTATCCTTTTATGTTTTCCGATAAAATAAATAAGAACATCCTGTGTTGTAGAACCTACATTAAAGTCTCCAAAATATTATTAAGATCAGCAGAAACCATTTATTCTAATTGATTACTCACCACGATTTTGAATGTATAAACACACACACATCTGTGCATTCCAGTCACGTTTCAAGAATAACGTTTAAAATAATAGAAAGTAAAATATTATCAAATAAAAAGCAAACCCAGTAACAAAACATATACCAGCATTACAACATTACAGCGCTCCGTTAACCAGACGTGGATGCAGGCTTTATATTCAGACATTGCCGTTCGACGAACCCTAGGACGCGCCGCCCGCCCTTGCCTTCCTACAGACGCGCTCTCCGCCAGGCCCGCCCAAACCTCGGCAGGGTTCCGCGAAGGCTGGCGCTGCAGGTTACGTGAGAGTGCGTTGACTTGGGCTGAGGACGCAGCGCCCGCCCTTGCCTTCCGACCGGACCTTTAAGTGCAAGCTCGTCTCGCCTCTCCTATATTTTTACCGAATTTCTGAACTTAGCTACGCGTAAATTATATTTACAATAGCTCTGGAAACTTACAGGCTTATGTTATGCTGTTGTTGTATATTGTTGTGAAGCTTTTTTTTAATTACTTTTGTTACTACCTGTTAATTAATTACTTATTTAAATGAAGGAGAGTTTGAATAGTACTATCAAGTTGTACACTAAATATCGGTACCATTTTATAAGACAAACAAGTTTGTTTATGTTTGTAAAGCTTTGTAAGTGTCAATAGAATGTTTTCCTGTAAGCACTCGTAGCGATTGTAAAGATCCTCCGTACAATTAACACGTTTTTGGTTTACAAAAGCAAACTATTGTAGTTTACTATAATCACTGCGAATTTCTATAGGTACGATACACGTGTTGAACAGTACAAGTGACTAGTAGTCATGTGTCCCTTTGAAGCCTTAGAGCTCCGGCTTGAGATAGGCCCGGGCAGGACACGAGTCGGGTTGTCGCCCGCCCTAGGAAAGACGCGCCGCCCGCCCTAGCCTTCCACTTGTCTCAACTCGATCCGACCCACGAGTTCATTTTGTTGTGGTTTTATTACAATATATTATATATTTTTTTATTATTTCATACTTTTTGTTTACGACGCTTGAATCTTTATTACTTTTTTGCTTGCTAATTAAGAGATTGTAGAACATATAGATGTATATACATATATGTTAGGTGGGTATACCTTGTACCTTTAAGTACTGTAATATTATGATAGTTTATGATTGCAAGTAGCGTCGCCCTCACACGTGTGTATAGATAGGTATTTCATTAGCATTTTTTCCAAGAAGATATTTTGAGCGTTGAAGCTTTTAGGCGTTTTCTCGAGAACTGGCTATTAACTTATCTTAAAAATATGAAGACGAATCATTAACATAATTAAATGTATACGCTTTACTAGCTGACGAACGCGTGTAACTTGCCAGTTCCTAGAACACTGACAGACTAAAACATTTCACGCTACAATTTACTGTAAAACATGGAGGCTTCGTTATGTAATTAATTCTAAATAACGTCTACAGTCTACACCTTTCTAAAAGGTAAGGTATTATCAGTTTTACATAATCAAGGTGACAATTAATGCCTAGACTATCTATAATGGCTGGAGCTGGTCGGAGGCTCGGTCGCGCCGGGTCGGGTTGTCGCCCGCCCTCGGAAGGACGCGCCGCCCGCCCTGGCCTTCCACTTCGCCTCGAGACAGACGTATTATGTAGTTTTGGATGCTGCAGCCAATTTGGGAAAGCAAAATGACGCAATTGATTTTAATTAAAGCAAACTATATTAAAATTGCTAGCTAGTTTTTAAGGTAGGTTTTGTTTCACTTTTAAAGTCAATAAAAGAATAAATAGTCTTCAACAATTACTCTAAAATAATAAATAATTCTTACCCTAAGTATACATATTAAGAAGCTATCCGTAGCTATTTCGATTTGATTTCAAAGTGAAGATTTTGGTCTAGAAAATGGAAAGTCTTAGAATTTAGGCGAAACCACAGCATAAATCCTTACATATTTTAGTCATCCTGAAAGCTAAATATGAATATTCCAATAAGTAAATATCTTTATCTATTACACTGTATTTTGAAATGGTTATAGGCACGACAACGAATCATAGATTTTATTTTAAGACCCAGTAATCAAAGAATCTGCAAAGTAATTTAAGAACCACAAATTACAGATTGTCACAGTTACATAAACCTAATAATATAACTAGAGTCATTATGTTAGTTGAAATAATTCAGATATCTATTAACACTGATCTCTCTCACTCGTATTATTAGAGACTGACCAAAGAGAGGTGTACAGTGTGTTAATGAGCCTTAAATCAGAAAGTGCCCCTGGTTGGGACAATATATCTACTAAATTCCTTAAATATGCTCATGAAATAATTGTGCCTATAATCACACATCTTGTAAACCTATGCTTCACTAAGGGCATTTTTCCAGCTTCATTAAAAAAAGCTATTATCACACCTGTGTTCAAGAGTGGTAACAGAGACGACGTTAGTAATTATAGACCTATCTCGGTTCTACCAGCTATGTCAAAAATTTTGGAAAAACTGTTAAATACCCAACTTATCAACTACACTACTAAATTTAATATTTTATCACGATCTCAATACGGCTTTAGGCATGGTTTATCAACGGAGGATGCAATTTTAGCACTGTCCTCTTATATTGCTGATCAAGTGGATTCAGGAAAACGATGTCTAGCTGTTTTCCTGGATCTAAAAAAAGCTTTTGATACCGTGTCTGTTCCCATTCTTGTAAATAGCTTACAAAATATTGGCATAAGAGGAATCCCATTGAAATTACTAATAGACTACCTTCAGGGTCGAAAGCAATGTGTTAAGGTAGGAAATTATGTCAGTGGTGAGTTGGATGTGAGTTTTGGTGTTCCGCAGGGCAGCGTGTTAGGCCCAACCCTCTTTCTGGTCTACATTAATAGCCTTTGTGACATGAAACTTGAGGGTGGGCGCCTACTATCATATGCTGATGACACAGCAGTTATTTTCTCAAATGATACATGGGAATCTACATATCAGTCTGCTGAAATGGGTCTCGAAAAAATTGCAATATGGTTAAACTCACATTCACTCACTCTAAACACTGATAAAACAAAATATATTGCTTTTACAAAATACAACAATACTCAACCGGGACCTAATTATTTCTTAAAGATTCATAGTTGTAATAATATTTTCAGCAAAGATTGTTCCTGTCCTAAAATCACAAAAGTATCGAACATTAAATATCTGGGAGTTATAGTGGATCAAAGACTATCATGGCACTTTCACATAGAAGCAATTACCTCTCGTATTAGAAAACTAATCTGGCTCTTTAAGAAATTAAGACATTTAACCACTAGTTCTCTTCTAAATCAAATATATATTTCACTCGCTCAGTCAATACTGATGTACTGTTTACCTGTTTGGGGAGGTTGTACAAAAACAAAATTTCTTGAACTAGAGAGAGCACAAAGATCTCTGGTGAAAGTCATGTATTTTAAGCCATACAGATATCCTACGGAAGATCTTTATTCACTGAGCGGTCTTCTCAGCGTTAGGAAATTATACATACTTCACATTATTCTAAAACTCCATAAAACACTTACCTTTAACCCAGATCATAACAAAAAAAGAAGAAAATACCTTGTTGCAACTTTAGCCCCTGTTAAAACAGCATTCGCAAAGAGACAGTACACTAGACAATCCGCTGAACTCTATAATAAATTAAATAAAATACTAAATATATTTCCTAAAACTTATCATGAATGTAAAAAATCTATTATATGCTGGCTGAAAACAAAAACGTATGATGACATAGAAAACTTTCTTAAAACTGTTACTTAGACCATATATATTATAAAAGAAGAACCTAAATACAACATACATGCACATACAGATAACATACATTTATTCATACAGACACACCCACACACACACGCTCACACACACACACCACACACACACTTACCCACACTCCCTACTTTACACTTATTTATAAGTTTCTAATTATTACTTATAAAAAAGGTTTAAATGTATAACGCACCTACTACTTACTGTTTTTTTTCCTAGTTATGAAGAGCGGGGTCTCCTAGCACAGGTAATTTTATTACTTAAAAGGGGACCCCTATGTAAGTTGTCATTGTAGTAGATATAAGTTATTGAAATAAAATTTTGTATTGTATTGTATTGTACTGATATAAATATAATAAGCCTTTAAAAATGTATTCAAAGTAAATTCATAATCAAATCTCGGGTATTTGTGAAGTGTAGTTTATTCAGAGCTATATAGTTAATAAATGAACACTTCCGACTGTAGTGTATCTAACCTTGATAAGATAGTATGTTGCTAAGATTACTTACGAAGCCTAGTTATACCAGTGAATACTTAAAACAAAAACTGCGTTCTGAACAAATAAAAAACAATTACTTAGAAAACATTGAACTGTAAAATAATAATAATAAACTTTAGCGACGGCCTGAGCCTTAATAATACCTAATTGAGTAACACTTCAATATTCGCGCGTCATCCATTATTACAAAATACTACATAAAATAAAAACTAGTTATATCAAGTAGACCTGAAATACGAGCTACCTTTAGACATGAACTCACCCTGAACCCGCGTTCACCCGAATCACCTTCCACCCGGCAAGTGTAGCGGCGTAGCCCGTAGAGGACACCTCTACGCGCTACGCCGTAGCGGGTCTACGGCCTGACGACCGGACGGGCGACTAAGCCTGTATATAAATGCTTTTATGTGTTTCTCTAATAAATACTCCGTATTATGTATTCGCAGACTATTTTAGTACTTGTTTGGGTTTGATAGGAGACTCCCTTTAATAATGGAAGATTTGGGAGAGCTTATAATTAATACTATTTTATGTTTTGCTAACCAATTTAAAAATATAAGAAGTGTGGTTAGTACTCCCTAACACATTTTTAGCTGACACTGTCTGTCTGCCTGCTAAAGTACAGAAACACTAACTCATTAATCTCGCGTCTCCTAAATGAAAATGATACATAACTCGCGCTTAACCCAGTTATATAAAAAGTCTGTAATTTTCCCGAGAGAAAGACGCCTATTATTAAAATCACGGCAGGGTGTAATGGGGACAATCAGCGTAATGACATCGCCGGCACAATTATCAAGTTTTAAAAGAGATGGGGTAGGCAGAGCACTGGATGGACTAGTGATTATTGAAATTCGAATTGTCTAAAACGTAATACTGGTTGTATACATTTTCAATGATTTCTTTGATAGACCACATATTTGTTTTTGGCTTAATTAAATAATAGGTAATTTTAAATTTAATCAAACATTTATTGTGTTTCAAAAGTCATGTAAATATTTTTCTGTTTGTTGCATCAAAACAATAAAACCTCG